TGCACATGTCCCGGCATTTCCACTTGCAGCGGAAAACCTTGAACAGACCTCCCGGGGCCTCAGTGTAATCATCTGTACCACCGGACAGAAATCACTTTCACAGTCTACTTTACCAGATCTGTACAGTCAGATTAGATAACTGTACATGAAAATACCTCCACAGCCTGAAACCGCTCTGCGAAGGCCACTGTGTCACTCATAAACCAGCCTTGTAAAGACAGGGTGTCTGACTCCCCGCTAAACAAAGGAGCCACCACAGCAGCTGGCTGTCATCTCTGATTCCTCTTTCTTCCCTATTCTCAGAGACGTGCGTGTTGTCTAGCACACATTAACTGCTCAAACATGTTGATGGAATAAATACGTCATTGGTATGTAAAGGGAAACATTATAAAAAGTCCACAGTATGTTTCAATCAGTTAGATCTAAGGAAGATTTTGTCCGATGTGAACTGTCACTAAAGTATTCTACTCAGATTCTCACCTTCTGTCCTACTCCACTTTGTGCCGTATAACATGTGTGCTCCTTCAGAGCAAAACCACATCTTCATCATTCCACAGGGGCCAGGACTTGGTCTTGATCAGAGCTGCATCCCCAGCGCCCAGAACATGCCCTTGTGCTCAGTAGACTCCATGAGGATATGGTGAATGAATGAATGAATGAACGGTTTGAAACCCATAGTATAAGGCTAAGCATTCAGGAGACGTTTGTTGAATGAACAAGTTATTAAATAAGGGGAGCGCTGTCTTTTACTAATGTCCGTTTCCAGCGCTCTCAACACAGGCAGCAAAACAAAGTGGGAGGTCAGGGTTTGGAGTCAGGTGGTCCAGGTTTTAATCCTGGCTCTTCTTTACTGGCTGGGTAACCTAGAGTGAGCTCCTGAGCCTCTCTGTGCTTCAGTTTTCTCACCTGTAAAATGGGGATGATGATAATTTTTCCAATAGGGTTTTATGAATTCACTTGGAGGATACTTAAAGTATTTAGCACAGTGCCTGGCACACAGTAACTGCTGCTATTTTTTTTAATGACCATATCACTCTCTTAATAACCTTCAGTGGCTCCCCTCTAGCTACAGAATAAGATCTAAAGTCAAGGCCCCCACAATTTGGCCCTGATGTCCCTTTCTTCAGGTCCCTCTTACCCATAGTTTAACACCAACTACACTTCACTGGCTTCCAGGCCCTCCTCTAACTAATGTATATCCGTTAGCTTGTTTCCTTTCTCACACGCCCTGTAAGGTTGGACTTATTATTGCCCATATTTCACCGATGATGTGACTAAGGCTCAGAAAGGGGAAGTGGCTTCCCCAGGGACACACAGCTTATCCCAGGAAAGTGGGACTCGATTCTGGGACTCTCTGACATGAAAGTTCATGCTCCTAGTCACCGGCCTCTGAAATCCTTGCCATGCACAGTGTGATCTATGAGCCAGCACTGGCAGCCCTACCGGGAGCTTGCTAGAAATGGAGAACCTCAGGCGCCACCTCACACCTACTGAACCAGAATCTGAATTTTAGCAAGATTCCCCAGGTGGCTGCTAAGCACAGTAAAGTTTTAGAATCACGTTTGTAAACCACTTTCTACCAGTCAGATAGAACTACTTAAATCAAATACATGATCTCATTTAATCCCTACATCAATCTGAGAGCTCATAGGAGGTCAGAATTATTATCCCTTTTTACAGATGGGGACACTAAGGCTCTGAGGGTTAAGTACAGCCGTGCGCGGCTTGACAATGGGGATGCATTCTGAGAACTGCGTCCTTGGGTGATTTCGTCATTGTGCAAACATCATAGAGCACTTACACGAGCCTAGATGGGGCAGCCTACCACACACCTAGGCTGTATGGATAGCCTGTTGCTCCTAGGCTACAAGCCTGTACAGCATGTGACTGTACACAAAAAAATGAGGTTAAATCAAACACAAGAGAAAATGGTATAGTCGAGAGACAGGTAAACACAAGCTGTACGAGGCTGCGGCTGGAAGAACACGACATACTATTTTACAGCAAACTTTGTTTTGGGGGTTTTTTTATAAGTAGAAAGAGTACACTCTAAAATTACAATAAAAAGTACAGTAAATACCTAAACCAGTAACATAGTCATTTATTATCATGATCAAGTATTATGTACTGTATGTAACTGTATTGCTGCGCTTTTATACCACTGGCAGCGCAGTAGGTGGGTTTATACCAGCATCACCACAAACACATGAGTAACCCGCTGCACCACGACCTCCCCATGGCTACGACACCAGGCTATAGGAATTTTTCAGCTCATTATAATCTTATGGGACTACTGACATCCATCGTTGACCAAAATGTCGCTATGAGGCCCATGGCTGTATCTTGAACTGAACCTACGTGTACCTGATACCAGCCTGATCCTCCGACACACCCAATCTCAACTCCCTCTGCCTCAAATGTTCTCGCTCTCTCCCCCTTGAATTCTCATCCTTTTAGGCTCCACTCAAAATCCCTTCCTGCCGGGTGAAGCCCTTCTTACCCACATGCCATTGGATAGCTTAATTACTCCTCCCCTGAGAGTCCCCACAGCCTCCAGCACAGACCTGTCTCTTGGCCCCAATTCATTCTCTCTTTTTTTAAAATTTGTTTTTCAATCACAGTTGACATACAATATTATATTCATTTCAGGTGTACAACATAGTTATGAGACATTTAGATATCTTCCAAAGTGATCACCCTGATAGGTCTCGTACCCATATCTGACACCATCCCTAGTTATTACAATACTAGAGGCCCAGTGCATGAAATCATGCATGGCTGGGGTCCCTCAGCCTGGCCAGAGATCAGGGCCGATTGGGGCCGTCTCTCGCCCAGTCCCAATCTGGGTCGATCAGGGCCAGCCGGCCGAGGGGGAGGGACCCTGGGAGATTGGCCAGCTGCGAGGGGTTGGCTGTGGGAGTGCACTGACAACAGGGGGCAGCTCCTGTGTTGAGCATTTGTCCCCTCGTGGTCACTGCACATCATAGCGACCAGTCGAGCGGTCGTTGGGTCGACGGGTCATAACAGTCACTTAGGCTTTTATATATATATAGACTATTGACTATATTCTCTATGCTGTACTTTACATCCCCATGTCATTCTTTACTAAAGAAGTCTGTGCTGAGCCAGGCACATAGTAGGCCTTGAGTAAATGCTTGCTTCCAAGTCATTAGGAAACAAACTAAATGCTCTCCAGTCTAAAGATGAAACTTGTCTATACTTACAAGTGGAGTGTTAGCAGGAGGAAGGCTTTCCAATCCCCAAGAGTAGAAAAGGACACAGGTACGGTGACAAGCACCTCGTTACTCACCACTCTGATCTTTGGGCTGACATGGGATGGCAGAACTGACTTTTAAAAAAAAAACTTTTAAAAATATGTGTTTTTATTGATTTTTAGAGAGAGAGGGATAGAGAGATAGAAACATCCATACGAGAAAAACATTATCAATCGGCTGCCTCCTGCATGCCCCGCACTGGGGACTGAGCCCATAACCCTGGTTTGTGCCCTGACCGGGAATTGAACCTGTGACTTCTTGGTTCATGGGTCGACACTCAACTACTGAGCTATACCAGCCAGGCAGATTGACTATTGTAACAAAATTTGCTTATATTTGAAAATCTAATCCTCACTTTATTTTAAGACCATCTAAGGAATAGGAGGAAACCTCTTCAGATTCACTGATTTAAAAGCGGGTCCCAAATCCTGTCATTTCACAAGGGAAATAAAAAAGACAAAGTGCTTTTAATGTAGGGCAAAGAGCCCTGAGACATAGAACCCCAAGGGCTGTTTCTCTTTACGGGGAACTTGGGCAAACCACATGTTTCTAAGCCTCAATTTCCTCATCTGTAAATGAGGGGGTTGGACTCGTTTCTAAAGCTCCTTGCAGCTCTAAGAGGCTGTGCTATAAAATGAGAGAAATGTGAACCGTTGGTTGCTATGATCTGAAAATATTTTGAATGTAGAGAATCAAATGTACAGTAGTGCTTGAGCAAAATAATATGTTAATGACTAAGGATTCTATTGAATTCAGTGGGAAACAGCAGAGCTGCTGCTGGGGGTGGTGGTGTGTGTGTGTGTGTGTGTGTGTGGTGTCTCCTCATGCGCAGCTTTCTTCCTTGAGCTCAAACATCTATTCTGAATCACTAATATGGTAATCAGGCCTCTGGCAGCCTATCTTGCCCAAACACACACACACACACACACACACACACTCCACTTCAAATTAAAATGGGGTGAGATTCCATCACTGCTGCTTGCTTACTAGAACATCCTTGCTGCATTTTGGGTGGGTTTGTTGGGGTTTCTTTAAAGAAATTTTTATCGTGGTGAAGGTGTTGAATTGACAGCTTCTGGAGGGAGGCCTCTGACCTCAGAAATGGGGCGCGTGGGCCCGGAGCTGGGGGTTTTATTATCATTTTCCTTGTGCACACTTGCCCGCCCCTCACTATCCGGTCTAGCTTCGGGGCCCCAGGCTCTCCAATGGGGAGAGGTCAGACCGGCAGCCCCAGAAGCGCCCCGGCCCAGCACGTGCTCGCGCCTCCCCGCGGGAGGCTGGGGGCGGTCGCAGCTTGTTCTGGGCCCACATGCATCCACGTCATCCGGGAACATATCAGTTCTAAGGCCCCAGAGCAGAGAACACTTCTTTGTGGATCCTGCCCGCAGTCTTGGATCTGTACCGGCAGGTGCTGCAGTGCCCATGCTCTGTGCTTGAGGACATTTAGGCCTGGTCAGCCATGTCCGTTGCCCAACGGCCACTCCTTGTATTGCTACAAGGAAATGAGGCTTGGGTGCCCCTTGGTGGCACCCTTAGATTGCCATCACCTCTTCGCCTCGGAGAATCTGCCTCTACCACATAAGGCCCTCCCATCTCTCCCCCATCCCCGCCCCCAACACTAGGACACACTCTACAATCTCCTCAATACATTTTGGCTCTTACAAAAGCTAGGAAGAGAAATGGTCTCCTAGCAGCTTTGGTCCAGCAGCTGCCCTGAGGCAAGAGATGCAGTGGGTCAGAGCCAGATCTTTCACTCTACAGCAGAGAAAAACAAAACACAATTAACAGGCCTGAAGTTTACCCACCATCAAAGCAATGGCCCCCCGGAGTCCCTGGCCTACTGGCCCGACCGCTCCGACACCGAGGTGCCCCCGCTGGACCTGGGCTGGACCAACAGCGGCTTTTACCGCGGCCTGAGCCAGGTCACGCTCTTCACGCACCCGCCCAAGGAGGAGAAGGCGCCCCACCTGAAGCAGGTGATCAGGCAGATGATCCAACAGGCCCAGAAGGTAGGCCCTGGCCCCGCCGCCTCGTGGGTGGGGACCTCACACCCAGTTCCTTGGACCAGACCCCCACCTCGGGGGCCAGCAGCCCTGCCCACCCTTGGGGCAAAGGGTCCAGGGCGCCTCCTTCACGTCCTGGGGCTGTGCTGAGGCCTCTGGAGGATGTCTGTGACCGTGCTGGCAAATTATAAAGTAATGGGCAGTTGTTGGTCATTATTACAGTGGCCAGGGCGCTGGCTTCCACCTGCCATGTGCTCTGGGTCCCCGTGAAGTTCCTATCCCCAGGCAAGACCCAGGGCTGAGGGGGGCCCTGTGGTAAAAGGGGCCACTCAGAGGTCATGGCGATACCTACGCGCTGCCCAAGGTTTTACAAGACATATCCCGGGCCACTTTCTCATTTGATCTCAAAACAACCTCCGGAAGCCGGTGGTTTGACCTCGTCATGATGCTCTCAGCCTGATGCTCTTAGCCTGCAGCAGAGTCAAGGTCGGCCTAGCCCATCAGATTCACGCTCCCAACTAGAGCTCAAGCAGCCTGGAATGAATGAGGAATGTGAGCACCTACTATGTGCCTGGCTCTGTCCTGGGCTCTTGGACAAGACAGGTCGCTGGACTCAGCAGCTCAGAAAAAGCTCCCACTTATCTCGTTTGCTATGCACAGGGGCCGAAAGGAAGGAATGCTTCCAGATGGCCTGATTAGAATTCAGGAAGGGCCGGTAGGTTGTGGGGCAGAGAGAAGATTTTAATCTTTACTCTGCCCTTGGGTAGAGTTTCCAGCTAAAATATAGGATGCCCCATTAACTTTGAATTTCAGTTGAACAACAAATACTTTTTTAGTATTAGTATGCCCCACATATTGCATGGGGCATACCGGTATTAAAAAGTTAATCGTTATTTATCTGAAATTCAAAGTTAATGGGGCATCCTGTTTTTTATCTGCTCGGTCTGGCTCCCCTCCACAGAGATCTGCCTAGAAACACCAGCAGCCTTCGGTGTCCAGTTCAGAATATACAACAGGAGTGGCTGGGGTTCCCTCTTCTAATTCAACTCAATGAATGTGGTTGAAGTTCAGTTACCTCTGCAGGCTGAATGGCCTGGGGAGGGAAGACTAACCTGGAAAGACCAGTGGGGGTTGTCGGGGGGCGGGGCGGAAGCACCTCTTCCAGGAAGGGGTGGTGATGCAGGTAGTTGGCTAGATTGGCCACCAGAAGGAAGTTAACAGTTAACTTGTTCTGTCCATACTTCCCCCCTCCCTTTTCTACGTAATTCTTCTTTGTCTGCCTGAGCTGTCTTTGTATGTTGCATTCTGCACAAGACAAAGGCAAGTTTGAACAGCGGAGAAAGGACGAGGTGACTGTTTTGCGGCAGGCTGCAGGTGGGGTCAAGTCTTGTCATACTAACACGCCTCGATGTATTGGCACTCAGTATGTGCCAGCCACGGTGAAAATGACTTGCCTGCAGTTTCTCTTGTGCTTTTCACGACAGCAAGGGGGGACTGGGTATTTTCCTTATTTTTGGATTCAGAACAGTTAAGTTCCTTGCTGAAGGTCACCTAGCTAGTAAGGGGTTGAGCCAGGTTCTAAATGCCAGAGTCCTTGCTCTCAACCACTGCGATACCCTGCTCTGCTGCCTGATGCTGGTGCAGCAGGATTAAGCCAAGGAGCTTGAGTGGAGTTAGCCTGGTCACAACCTGGTTGCAGGTGGTATACCACTGTTACAAGGAGAGATGAGCAGGGCCCCTGCCCACTGGGGCTTCTTGTCTCTTGCGTCGTGGAGTGTTCCTAACGCTTTAAATATTTAACAACAGAAAGTTTAACCATTGTAAACTGTTCCAGTATTACACTCGGTACATATTTAACAGTAGTTGTTTCCTGGGTGCATAGTGTCAGCTGCTGGCCACGGGAGGATATAATCTGTGGCCTTTGCCTTCCAAGAGTTAACGCAAAGGCAGGGGGAAGTGCTCAAAGCAAGAGTTTTTGAGGCTGGCTGTGCTTAATCTTCGAGGGCTTCCTGAGGGAGGTGACTTGCTGAGTTAAACAGGGAGAGAGGAGAAACTGGAATGGATAGTGTCTCCATAAGACACTGAGGAGAAGGAGGGAGAGATTTTTGCTTCAAAACAGCAAGCAGCTTTGATTGGCAGAAGGAGGAGCTGTCCTGGTGGGAGCTGAGTATTGTGTGAGGCCTGGTGTGGGGGTCCTAAAACTGGGTGCAAAGCGGGTGACCACCCCCTAGGAGAAGCAGCTTCTGCCCCTGTCTGTACCCGCTCAACTCCCAGGCCCTCTGGGCCCCACTCTTCATCACTGCTGCTCACATCGGTACAGAGCCTTCTTCTCAAAGACCCTGTGAAGCAGGTAGGGCAGAGGGGTAGACTCTGTTTCACAGGGGAGGAAACTGAGGCACAGAGCTTGCCCAAAGGTCACATGGCTGGTGATAGAAAGACACTGAGCCCTGGCTTCTGCTCTAACAGCTACCCCTCTGACCAGTGTCAGCCGCCACCCATTCCTCAACTCATCCAACTGGCAAGGAACCCTCCGTGGCCGTGACTAGATCCTTCCTCCTGCCTGTCACCCCGAGGGAGGGAGTTTCTTTGTCTGGCTGCTGGGAGGCCAGGTGGGGCAGACTGTGAGATGCTGTAAGTGCAGAGACTGGGGAGTCGGGGAAAGAGAGGTGCAGGACATAGGTGTCCAACTGTGTGCCAGAGTTTTGTCTTTTATCTCACTTAATCCTCAGAATAATCTCATGAGGTTATTCCTGAGTGATAACCAGAAACTAGGGCTCTGTGGCAACGACTTACCCACAGCTGCAGACCAGTGAGGCCTCCCAACCTGGGCCTCAGGAATGCAGAAAAGGACCCTAAAGGAGACGCTTTGAAAATATGATAGGGGTGGGGGTGGCGGGGGGGGGGGGGCGGTTGGAGAGGAGGGGCAGAGGGGTGTGGCCAGTGAGGGAACAGCCCAGCAGGTATGGAGGTGGGACCACATGGAACGGGAGGAGGTCTTGGAGGTCGCTGTCTTATCTGCTCTCCTGGCCTCTGCAAATGTCAGGAGGCCCTCCCGGTTGCACTGGGCAGCCAACGTTCAAACATGCGGCCATGTTTACTTGTGGGGTGGGGTTTTTATCATGTTCTTTCCCCCTGGAGTTGTCTGTGTATTTTAGTGTCACTGAATGGTGTCTTTTGTCTGCTTAAACTGCAGGCGGAAAGCATGCCTTCAGGGACCCAGAAACGAGTCCCTGGTGTGTCCCTGGCTGGCAGAGATGACCAGGGAGGTTGCTGCTTCTTGGGCTGCTAAGATCATTGTCATTGCCAGGGGGCGGACTTAAAGCAGGACCAGTATAGCCTGGGAAAGTCTTGGTTCTTACATGGGCAGTGAGAGGCTCCAACAACTCTAATTGGGATGGACTTTCGACTCTGAAGGGTAACGCACCCCTTTGGTCACTGCACAGATATATAAATATAAATTTTAATCCTCACCTGAGGATATTTTTCCATTGATTCTTAGAGAGAGGGGAGGGGGGAACAGAGAGAAACATTGATGTGAGAGAGACATATTGATTGGTTGCCTCCCACACGTGCCCGAGACAGGGGCTGGGGATCGAGCCTGCAACTGAGGCACGTGCCCTGGACTGGAATGGTGACCCTTCAGTCCTCGGGTCAACACTCTCTCCAGTAAACCAAACCAGCTAGGGCTGGACAGATACTTTGCGGTCTACTGTGTGCTAAGCACGTTAGTAGAAAACAGACATATTAAACACTCTTAAGTAGCCTACTGGTCTACTAAACGATCATTATAATACAGTGTGATGAGCGCTTGACGAGAGGGTGTGGCAGGAGGGCCGCTCACCCAGCCCCTGAATCGGGTTAGGGCAGGACCTTTGATGCTGCGACCTGTCCACAGCATGTCTGCACGCAGCAGGAAAGGTGAGATTGCACCAAGCCATGCACCCCTCTTTGTGCCCAGGCTCCCTGCTGACCCGCTGACCAGCAGCTCCCATGTGTGAGGCTGCCGGGCAGGTTTAGAGAGTATTGGTTACCTGTGCCTCACCTCTGCATTCCTGGGTCCCATTTCCTCTGAGCCTCAATTCCCTTGTAAGGCCGAGTGCTGTCTTCACTCACAGAGGAGGCCTCCGAGGTCCAGAAGGGTGGAACGCCTTACCTTCAGACCAATAGCAAGATTACCCAGCTTCCCTGAGTCCCTGGTCAGGATGGCCAATAGCCCTGCAAAGATTATAAGCATAACCAGGAGGGGAGGCTGCTGGACGAGGCAGCTTTCATGAACCAGCAGACAGCGGGGCGAGGGTAGCCAGGCCCGGCCCTACCTCACCTCTGCCTGTTGAAGGGTTTGTTCCCTTTCCCTTGGGGCCCGGGGCAGATGGCACCTCTTCCTTGGCACTTTATCGGATCTACAATCCAAAAGGGATCTTGTTGTTGTTCTCAGATGAGGCTCCCTGTTTGTGCCGCCCGTGTGCCTGGCGCACAGCTCGCTTCAGGACAACCCCTTTCATCCCTGTGGGCTGGGAGCTTTGGAAGAGCCGAGTCGCCACCTTGTCCCTCACACCATCACCCAGAAGGGCCTGATTGGCTCAGCCCAAAGAGCCCCAGGCCGTTGGGGAAGACTCCCCACAAATTCCCTGGCAGGGCCCACGGGAAGCCAATGATTTGTTTAAATGATTAGAAACTGTCTCCTATTGGCCACTGTCCCTCTCCGTCCCTCTAGAGAAGCAAGTGTCTGGAGCAGTCCCCTTTTGAACTGCACATCACCCAGGGGACCCCTTTAATCCCCAGCGTGACAAGCTATCTGGCACCAGAGAGAGTGCTCTACATTGGGGAGTGGGGGACAAAGCGGGGTCAGAAGGATTTGGGGAAAGGCCCCAGGCAGGGGGCATGCTGGCCAGGTTAGCACCCTTGTTAGAGATCTGGGCAGCTGATAGGATGAGTGAACAGCTGGGTACACATGCCCAGGGGCATGGCAAAGTCTTGGAGTCAGCAGGTCACGCTGGGAGACAGCT